CTCTCCTCCCCACCCTCTCTCCTCCCCACCCTCTCTCTCCTTCACTCTCTCTCCTCCCCACCCTCTCTCTCTCTCTCTCCTCTCCATATACACTCTTTCTCTCTCACACACATAAAAACATGTAAATCTATGAGGTGAATTTGTATTTGCAGATAAAATTTTTATTTGTTCAAAAAGTGCACAATTTATAGACAATCAGTCAATGTGGCACTTTATAAATTCCTATTTTAGAAATAAAAACATCCTGACTCCAAACCAAAACACAAACAGATTCTAAACGAGGGGTCACACCTAAAAGGCCACCTCTTCCACTGTTAAAACATTCAGTTCTCCCAGGAAAGTGACTTGAATTTGGGGATTTACATATACATCTTATTCAATCAAAACCTTCTAACAGCATCTTAGATTTGTTTAATACATCCTCATCAGTGGTGTGACCCTTCAATCTTTTACTTATAAATTCTGTGTCTGATACTACCTCTCTCACTAACACCCGAAGGAGTGAAGCTTTGAAAACTTGTGTTTTCAAATAAACCCATTGGAGTCTAACCCGGTGTTGTGTGATTTCTGACCTTGTCCACCCTAGTCCAACACCAGCACCTTCACATAATAACAAGCACAGGCAGGGAAAGTCTGCACGTTATATAATGGCTGTGTCATTTCAAAGTTGAGATCATGGGTGATGGAGCATAACCCAGAACGGGAGTAGTGACTTTTTCTGTGGTATCCTGGGGCAGGGATCAGCAAACTTAATTATACATTAGACAGATTTTTCAACTACAGGGGAGTGTTTTTGGGGGTTTGCTGGAAGAAACGGAGGAGTTGATCAGATGAATTATGATATTACTGAAGAGCAGGGCAGGCTCCAGGGGTCAACTGGACTTCAGTTGCTTTTGTCCCCTATGGTGTAAGAGAGCCATTTAAAAAAATGTCATAAATGTCATGCTTAAAAGCCAATAATGATGAAAGACTGGATGGAAACGCGTGTAAATAACTGTTTAAAGAAAAAAAATTGAATTAAATTTTAAAAAGTGAAAAGCGGTGGAAATTCGGTAGATTTGGGGAGTGGGAGTGGGAGCGGGAGCGGGCGGGGGCGTGCAGAAAGTTAATCTTTCGAGTTCAATGTGACTCTTACCCTTTCGGATTTCCAGCATCGGGAGTATTTTCCTTTTGAGAAGTGAACGAGACTTTCTGTCAAGCGCGGAGTTGGTGAAACGAGGAGAGAACCGTTTTAGTTAGACCCCGGGAAGGGCGGGGGCGGCTTGTGGAATTGGAGAGGCAGGTTACAGAGCACCCCAACCCTCTTTTCTCGGCGGTTAGGAGGAGATGCAGGCACACTATTTTGCTGCTGCTGTTGTTGTTGTTATTGTCGTCTCAGGCTCGCACCTTTCCCTGGTGAGCGAATGCGTCAAAAGGCGCTGCTAAACCTCGGCGTCGTGCGCGTGACTTGTCGGCGGCCGTTGCCGGTCTCCGCGGGTGGGGGCGGGGGCCTGGGGGAAATCTCAGGCTGTCCGCAGGCGGAGCGGCCCTGCCCTTTTCGTTCGTGTTAGTGTAGGGATGGATTAACGGTTTCCCCCATTCCTGCCCTCGCCCCCGAAAAGGAACTCCCTTCCTCTTGACCTCATGGAGCGAGCGGCGGTCACGCCGACACCATGAGCCGCCTTCCTGCAGCATCGAGGCGGGCAGCAGCTCCTCTAGCAACCGCCGGTTAGATGGGCCTCGGCGACTATAAATATTAAATCACCTATTTGTGCGTATTTGGAAGGACGACAAAAGTTTTATCTTTATTTCTAAATGTTAAAAAGAGATCGATATATCTTACATGTAAAGCATCTTGCGCAGGAAGACTGAAAAAAAACAATATTTTTATTATTTTCCCTGCCCTTAAAAACGGCTCTCCTCCGCCGCCTTTGGACGACGGAAAGTGCGAAAGTGAGTGACGAACAGCAAATTGCCAACTGTTAAACGTAAACGTCGGTTCCAGTTGGTTTGTTTTCAGTGATGCCGGTATCTCTGGTGCAGACATGCCGCAGTCTGGCTCTCTCAACATGGCTGCTGTCTTTCTGCTTCGTACATTTGCTGTGTTTGGACTTCACGGTGGCAGAGAAGGAAGAATGGTACACGGCCTTCGTCAACATCACCTACGTGGAACCGATCACCTCCGAGAGGAGGTCGGAGAAGAGCGAGTGTGGCCGCTACGGGCAGCACTCGCTCAAGCAGGACGCCCGGGGCTTGCTAGTACTGCCCGCTCAGCACGACAAACTGGCCTGTGACCCCCAGGCAAGGTTTCAGCTGCCCCCCGACTCTAGCACCAAGGGCTGGATCGCACTCATACCCAAGGGGAACTGCACTTTCAAGGACAAGATCTTGCATGCCGCCAGGCAGAATGCATCGGCTGTTGTCATTTACAACGTGGGGGCCAATGTCAATGAGACCATCACCATGCCACATTCAGGTGAGCTGTTTAGAGAGACACTGAAAAATAAAGAGGGATTTACATGTTGGGCACAATTACTATATGTGTCTTACCGAAAATAAGGTTGATGTTAAAGTATATGGGTGCTAATTTGGAACAATTTCGTATCATGTTACAGAAGATATCGTATGCATTTCATCACCTGTACTTTATTGGTGTCGCAGAAGAAGGAACTCGTGACAAGTTCCGGACGTTTTTTTGTCTGAACACCAATGGCAAACCGTTGTGATACCCCTCTAATCATAACATCGTTTTGCATAATCCTGCTCTGATATTAATCCAAAACCAAATACCAACTGAAATCATTAAATTAATTTGATTTTATTATAATACCAGTGGAGTATTAGGATTACTTTTCGCTTGACCGTAGTTGCCAAATTTTGTTGACTTAAAGCAATACCTTTCAGTACCACAGGAATATAAATATAACATTCGAATTTTAAAACAAAGTTGTTAACTTTTAAATGTACTGGAAGGTGGTATCACTTATTATCTAGTAGGTTTAGCCTTAAATTGGATTGTGTAGTTTTATTTTATTAAGACTAAAATAGGTAATTAAAATTGGTTAGAATCCTGGTTGTACAAGGTACTAATTCGTTTAAGATTCTTTAATAGATGCACCAAAAATAAATTGTGGTAGCAAAGCTTGAAAATCTAGTGCTAAGTAAGGAAAATTTCAATGTTGTACGCACTGGATCATGCCACTCTTGTCTTCATGAAGTTTGAGAGACGGCTTTGCTTGCATGAGATTTTCTCATCCCATAGCTTTTCTTTTTATCTTGATGGATAAATATGCAGAATATTTCCTTTATTCCTCTTTGTTCCTAATAACATACCTTTTTGTGTAAAATCTAAGCTGGGGCATTTTTTGTCTAATGTTTATTAGCCACACAAAGTAAAAGTTTGGGAAAGTCCGATTTGCCACGCCTGTCATAAATATATCAAGGGTGAAAATTAGCATGTTGACACTTATTGATCATCCTGGATTCAGTACACTGACCCTATAGACTCTTTTTAAACCTATTGATCATGATGGGTCATGCTTTTCCCAATTACTCCCTGAGCTGTAGACATAGAATCATTCTTCAATTTTGAACATGTGCAGAATCACAGAACTGTTGCAGTCCAGAAGGCGACTCCTACCATGTTCACTCTAGTGCTGTCAATGAACGATTGACCCTGTGCCATTTTCATGCCTTCTTTCTGTAACCACCTTTTTAAAAAATCATGTAATTCCCTTTTTGTACCTACGTCTGTAACACTTCTGGGCAGTTCATTGCAGACCCTAATCACTCATAGGTTTAAAAAGCTATTCCTGATGTCAGCAGGCCAGGCAGTATCGGAGGAGCAGGAAAACTGACGTTTCAGGTCGGGATCTGAAACGTCAGCTTTCCTGCACCTCTGCTGCGTTCCTCCAGCTCCACACTCTGTTATCTCAGACTCCAGCATCGGCAGTTCTTACTATCTATTCCTGATGTCTCTTTTTCTTCTTTTAATAATTACCTTAAATTTGTGCCGCTTTTCATTTCTGATCCTTTGATGCGTGGGAACATTTTCACCCTGTTTGCTCTGTCCAGACCCCTCATGAATTTGAATTTTATAAATCAATCCCTGAAGATTCGCCAAATTCAAACAGCATGTTTATGGGTGAGGATCCTTGGCTGTTCTTGCTAACTGCTTCTTATATTTGCTGTTACAACAACATAAATGGAACTTCTGCCCAAGTTACTATGGACGTCCAGGATGTGTGATGTGCTTTCTGTTGAGAGATGTGCTGTGTACATCGCCGCTGGTTTTTAGCTGGCTGCCTGAGTGTAAAAGTGGCATTGCTGATTATTTGGAAACAGCTCAGTCTCCCATTCTCACGATTCACGAGATAAATCTATCTCAAGTGGCTCAAACTCTGGAGCAGCTACTTAGAGTATTCTGAGAGCAAGGAGAGACAGATTTCAGTCTAATGGTCATCAGTTGATGTAGGGAAAAGGACTGATCTGAAGCAGGTTCAGGTCTGAAGCTACGTTACCTAATTTCAGCCAGGAGTTAGGTAGGGGATACACTGCATTGAGTGTAGGAGTTGGGATGTCATTTTGCGGCTGTATGGGACATTGGTTAGGCCACTTTTGGAATACTGCATCCAGTTCTGGCCTCCCTGCTATAGGAAAGGTGTTGTTAAACCTGAAAGGATTCTGAAAAGATTCACAAGGATATTGCCAGATTTGGGGGTTTGAGCTATAGGGAGAGGCTGAATAGGATGGGACTATTTTCCTGGGAGCTGATGGGTGACCTTGTAGAGGTTTGTAAAATCATGAGGGGCACGTATAGGGTGAAGAGCCAAGGTCATTTTCCAGGGTAAGGGAGTCCAGCAATAGATGGCAGAGGTTTAAGGTAAGAGGGGAAAGATTCAAAACGAACCTAAGGGGCAACTTCTCATGCAGAGGGTGGTGCGTGTATAGAATGAGCTGCCAGAGGAAGTGGTGGAGGCTGGTAGAATTAAAACATTTAAAAGGCATCTGAATTGGAAGGGTTTAGAGGGATATGGGCCAAATTCTGGCAAATGGAACTAGATTTATTTAGGATGTCTGGTCTGTATGGACAAATTGGACCGAAGGGTATGTTTCTGTGCTGTATGACTCTCTGACCAGCAGTGATCATATAATATGGTTTAATAGTTTCTCATCTGTGTCCTTCCTGATAGGATAGTTATACTCTTATTTGCGTTATTACCACGATTTATGTTTCTATTTTATCTGTCTGGGGAATTTTGTACAGTTTTGTTAGTGTGGTAACAATTGCCTTATAGTTGTCACTTCTCACTTGGAATCATGAAATATAGCAACATATTTGAGACAATGGAACAAGATATTTTATCAAAAAATGCATGCTTTGGAAAAAGTTCCTTTGCTGTAAGCACAGCGTAGCAATCCACTTCAAATCGAACTATTGCTAAAAGTTTATCCTGATTTAGCAAGCTGGGGTTCTAAATATATACTTAAGAAAGGATTAGCCATTTTGGGAATGTGTCCTACAGTAACTAAATTATAAACATTTAATCTGAAGCTGAATTGAGTACTTGAAAAAATCAGAATTTTGCTTTGGTAGAGGCATATAGTTGAATCTAATTGTGAAATGAAATTACTAAGTTAAATTTTTTTATTTGATTTGTCTGCCATGGCAGCTGAATCATAGAATCCCTGCGGTGCAGAAAAAAGTCATTTGGCCCATTGAGTCTGTACTGACCTTTTTGAAGAGCATCCTGTCCAGATCGCTACCCTATCGCCTTAACTCGACATTTACCATGGATAATCCACTTGGTGTACATATCCCTGGACACAATGGACAATTTAGCATGGCCAATCCACCTAACCTGCACATCTTTGGACCGTGGGAGGAAAGCAGAGCATCTGGTGGAAAGCCATGCAAACATGGGAAAATATGCAAATACTACACAGAAAATCACTCAAGGCTGGAATTGAACTTGGGTTCCTGTGCTGTGAAGCAGCAGTGCTAACCACTGAGCTATAGTGTCTGGAAATGTGCGTTAAGTGGGTTAGCCATGCTTTTAAAAAAAGTCTACGTGGGGTGGCACGAAAGCAGTTGGGGGGCTGTCTAGGTGAGATGCTGTTCAGTGTATCGGTGCAGAATGGCTTCTTGGCACTGAAATGATTCTGGTTTAAACATGAAAGAGGAATTTAATGCAATGAAATAGCAGAAGTAAACTATGTTGCCCCTTGAACCTGCTGCCCCATTCAATTCTTCTCCCTCAACTCCACTCACTCCCCTGCTTCCCATTTTGTCCCTTAATTCTGTCAGACACCAAAAGCCTGTGTCCCTCATCTAGTAACATACTCAATATTACAGCACCTAAAACCTTCTTGGAGTAGATATTTGCAATCAGTTAGTGAAGAAATCTCTCCTCATTCTAGTCCAAAATAAATGTCCTTTTATTCTGAAAGCATTTTTATTCTGTTTTCCTGGCTGGGAACTATCATCTCTGTATCTTTGCCTGGCCAAGTCTCTTCAGAATTCTATTCCACAAGTGATTCAGAGTCTTAATGTTATAGGTAAAGTTTTTTATTACTAGTGCAACCAGTGCATTTGTAGGTCAGTTTTCGTAGCTACATATCTATATTGACAAAGATGGGCATTTTTATTGTAGGTAAGAGTTTTTAGATTACTGACTCTTTGCAATGATTGTGCAGAAAATAACAAATAAATACATTTATATTCAAGGATGCAATTTAGTGATCAAATGTAATTGTGATGGTTTCTCAGCTCCAAATATTTAACATTGAAATCAATGCTAGGAACTATGAAATTATAAATTGGCTAAAATTTCTACAAGATTGAAATATCATTTGAGGTGTCCAAGGTTTTTTTTTCCCCCCCCGTTTGACTAATTACACTGCCTCTCCTATTTAGCAAGTCTTGTTCTTCAATATCCCTAATCAAATATAGTGGACTGTCTATCTTACAGCACTGTCAAACCATTGGATTGTTGTTTTAAAGTTTTTGCTTGAATGTATCCAAGATTTTGTTTGCCTGATCAACAAGGGCAAATATGATGCTTGAATTATAATTGACACTTTAATTGGTCAAATATCCATTAATTAAAGATGTTTAAGATTTAAGATCTTAAGGTTTACAATGATTAATTTAAATCCCACCACTCAGTAGATCTATTAACAATACAGAAACTCTTGCAATCTCCTCCCTTGCTTCTCTCTGTATCCTGCGGTATGTCCCTTAATGTTTTTCAAGATACCCAACACCACCACCTTAATGTCAACATGCTTTAGAACATCAGCATACCTCTCCCTAATCTTACCATTATCCATGTCGTCCTCTTTGGTGAATATTGATGCAAAGTGCTCATTAAGGACCTCACCCACTACCTTTGGCTCCATGCATAAATTCCCTCCTTTTGTCCATGTAGACCTACCCATTCTCAAGCTACTCTCTTGCCTTTAATGTATGTATAA